CAACCATAATTACAATTACAAATGAAAAAACATCAATTGTAACTGTAATTTTATCAATTATTTATGCAAGGTAATTAAACTGGCTATCCCACCTATAATGACCCTAATTAAAATTACAGTTACGACGTGAAATGTAACGCATGTAAGTTTAAATAACAACTTGAATTTTTTCATGAATAGATATGTTTTAATTACTTTAGGGATGACTTTGAAAAATGTCATAAATGTGTGACTGTGAGCATTAAAAATTTCTCCGTAAAAAAGAAGTTTAGAATAGCGAAAACAAAACAGTTCTTAGAGACTATTAAATTCTGAAACAATTCTGTACCCTTAGATACCTAATGGTCGTTACGCGACATTGTAATGTCTATTAAGTTTATACGCAATGCTTATATAGTAATTTCAAATATTTGATTTAAGTAATATTGAAAATCTGAATTAATCGAAACTGGACACGTAGCCAACCGAATAGGGAGATCTCCCACTTTTACCTTAGCAACGCATTGTCATTTACTTTATTTATTTTTTTTCTCTTATTTAATAAGTCTTGAACTAAGGATATTCGCAATTCATTAAATTCCTTTCTTGCTTTTATGAAACAAAATTTTTAATCAAATTGTTTAATCAGTTTAATTAAAGTTAATAAAAAGGTTATAGTTTCTTTTCGGGCAGTTGCCTAAGTGTTAATTATTCATTTGAAGATATTCCCATAAAGAAACAAGCAAAACTTTTCATGCAACAAATGTCTGTTTCAATAATTCCTTAATTGATAAGACAAAGAATTACTGATAAGATTTATTTTTCAACTTCTTTGAACTTAATAACTCGTATCACATTTACACTATACGCACAAACGGTTAGTATTACAATATAGCTCGACAATTATTAGTTATGTAAGTGTACATAACAAATTTTGAAAATCCATTCTGTCAATAAAGTAAAATCTGCGATAAAAGCAGATTGTTCTATATTTCTTGTTTATTTTTAGACCCGGCAGAAGTCCTCGTTTGTTTGTATCATGCTTCATATGTTTCTTATGTTTCTACAAGTATCTAGAAAGCCTGATCGTTATCATTCAATTTGTCAGTAAACTGATCAATTGTTTGCAATGAGTTATTAAAAAAATTGAGTTATTTAGAAAATGGTTACGATTGTAATTTCCAACAAAAGCCATTATTGTTTAAAAAAATCTATTGAAATGTATAGAGAAAAATTTCCGTAATCGCATACATACAAAAATTAGCAAGGAACTTTCATGAAAGTAATAACGTTGACGTAAAGAAGCGCGTGAAAGCAACAACTACAACACATAAAATGCAGACGAGAATGATTACGGTGAAAGTTAACGAGAACTTTCATGTTTAAATTCAATTTTGAAAGTCAAAAAATACTTATAGTTTTAACCAAATTATGTCGTTGTATATCTCGAACGTACTTTAATATGTACTATTTGTATGCAAAAAATTATCAGTGACTTCAAATTTAAATAGGATACACTGTATTAAAGTAAGCAAAAGATATAAACAGCTAGAAATATATATTCAACAAAATATAATAAACAGATTAAAATGTTCATATGGTTATGGCTATTAGTTTCACGTGCAATATAAAATACAAATAGAATTTGTGTTGAACATCTTAAATACACTAACATTACTGAAAAAGTCTCAATCCTTAATGAAAATCGTTATCCTCCTTAGATTGGATAAAGTATATATATTCAAACCATCTACCCTCTTCTAAAACGATACAATTAAATCTTTATATTTCTTTCACTCTGTTTATGGTCGCCTCTTTAACTTGTTAGTAAATTTTTATCGAGAGAATGAAGCAAACCTGACATTTAGGAAGTATATAAGTATATTTGGGATATACCGTGGTCAACAACGAATTTCACAAGAGATTTTACCTTCACATCAAACAGAGTAAAGTTAAGCCAGATTTAGGTATTTGGCTGCCTTTACGGGTGTCTTTTAGCGTGCCTGTTAAAATATCTTTCACAGACTTTATTAGCAAAGACACGATGGTGGCGAATGTCTCATGGCGGCTAACAAAGCCATCCTAAATATACAACACTGCACTACCACTAATAGTGTTACAAAGTTCGGTAACAGACGGGTTTGATCGAGTTTGCCCCACTTTTTAGTCGCACGTGTCTCAATTTATCCGAATCACCTGCACCTGAACCCGATTTGATTTGAGGCCAACGCTCAGGCTTTCTAGACTTGTTTCGAAAAACTGAATGCTCAAATCTATCCGACATCGAACCTTTCCGCTATTTTAATCGAAACTTCAATCGATTTAAAAAATATTAGTATCAATGGAGACTCGACACCGCAACCGAATAATTTTACATAATTAATTGAACTGAATTTCTTTAATTAATATATTACTTCGCTGATGTAGTGATGTTTAAGATCGCACGAAACGGTCATTTAACACGTTTGCTGCCACTGTCAAAGCATTGCCGATCCGTCACCACTGCAATATTAAAGATCAATGCTGCCCGTTTGTGATCGGCGGTTATAATCGCGGATCCTCCTTTCAACGCAGGAACGTGTATGTGTATGCGTGTGAGAGCGCGTGTATCTAGCTAAAGATGCAAATTGGGAATTCATACTACACCTCTTCCCGATTTTCTCATGGATATGAAATATAATGAAAAAGGTAATGAAAAATATAAAGGGATTTAACACTAGAATTAATATGTTTCTTCATACATTTACTATAGTATCCGAGTAAAATTATTTATTTTTAAAATCATTTCGAATATTTAGCACTTTTAAGATATCGATAAATACGAAATGAGAAAACTGAAACCCGTCATTTTGACGAGTGCGGTAGTTCTAGTGTTAAGGAGTCACTTATTTTCTTTTTACGTAAATAAGCAAATCGATTTTCAGTTTTGTTTAAGTATTTTGTAGTATTTTCAATTTTTCATAATTAAAATTTGTAGCTAATAATCGAGGAAAACTGTTATCTAAAATGTATTAAATTCTTTTCATTAATTTTGTATGAAATTTAATTGTCCTTGTTATTATAATATTCCTTCAGATATTTAAATTTGATACTTGAAAAATATATTATCATAATACGTTAATAAATTTGAGTGGATACACCTTTTAATATACCAATATAATTTTTTTTTTATTATTTGAAAAACGGTAACAAATACTAGTCTTGAGAATTCTGGAAAACATTAAAATATAAACAAATATTTGTTTAATATC